GCTCATCTTCTTCGAGCTCAATAAGAACTAACCAATTGTTTAAGAGAAGTGTTGTTGAGGTCCTTTGATAACTTTAGAGCAATTACCATTGGTCTCCAACATTTAGGTAAACTTCTGATGATCTTCTTAACATGATCAGTAGTAGAATATTCTTTGTCCAGAACTTTAAGTTCTACAACAAGAGTTTGAAACCTTGAGAACATGTTCTCAATAGTTTCCTCATCCTCCATCTTGAACGCTTCATATTTTTTATTAAAGGCAAGAGCCTTGGTTTCTTTGGCTTGTGTGTTCCTTTCGTGTGCTATTCTCAGAGAGTCAAATATGGATTTAGCAATATCTCTGTTGGAAATCTTTTCATACTCAGTGTATGAAATGGCATTTAGCAGGATAGTTTTTGCTTTGTGATGATTCTTATAATCTTTCTTTTGTTGATTTGTCATCACTCTTCTTTCAACTTTATTGCCACTTACATCTAATGGTTGTATGTAGTCATCGACTACTATGTCCCATAGATCAACATCATGACTTAGAAAGTAGCTTTCTATTTTATCCCTCCAATAGTCAAATTTGTCTCCATCAAAGACAGGAGGTTTAGCATTGTAGTGATCTCTATCATTTGTTTGAGCAACTAGAGGTGGTGGAATACCAGCCATTGAGTTTCACATTGGATCTTTGTCTCACACTGTTAAGTGTTTGATAATTTTATCAAGACCAGAACCAGACTATGATACGAATTGAAGGTGTCGAGAAACACAAGAAAGGGGGGATTGAATTGGGTTTCTAAAAATCAAAGCTTTTTCAAAACCAACTCAACAAGCAATAACACGAACAATAAAAATAACAAGTTATTTTTATACTGGTTCGTTGTTAACAAAGTTACCTCCAGTCCACCCTACCAAGGTGATTTTTCCTTCTCAATAAGTACTTAATCCTCTATAACTGAAACTGATTACATACACCACAAAGACTAATCGTCTTTGTCTTCTCGAGTATATCTGACTAAACCCTAGTCACTCAAGGAAAATCACTTAAACGATATTGAGATTTAGAAGTTATGTTTACACATAGTGCTTCTTAGAAAGCAGATTAACATAAGTTAATACAATGAATATCTCACACAATAACGAGCAACGACTCTATGTGTGCTTATAAAGAATATACACAAAAATTATATTTACTTCAGCAAATCATGTATGTTTAATAGCGTGAGCAATGAGTAACTAGCAGTGTTAGCTTAAGCATTAGTAACTTCTCCTAATTATCTGGTCTTCTTTATATAGGCACATAAAAGATCCGTTGGGGGTAGGATTGGAATTACAAAAAGAAGTCGTCTCTTTCACAACGGTTTACAAATGGGAGGAAAAATAGTACAATAGTAATGTCCTTCGCCCACAAAATCAGAGTAAAGGAGAGATGGATGATCTTGTACTATGCATAATTTTCTTGACGCAAAATCTTTTGATTTTATCTTCGAATCTTCACAGGCTTCTGATAAAATAATGTTGAAGCATGCTTAGAAAGATCAAGAGACTAGTTGAGAGAATCTTCAAAACCTTGTTTTCATAGTCTTAACATAGTTCCTCAGAACCTGGTCTTCAGAGTCTTCAGAATCTTCAAAACATGAGAGAAGAATCTTGAAGGCAGACAATCCTTCAGAGGCTCTTTAATCAGAGTCACAGTCATAAGCTTTAGCGCAAACGTTCTTCAGAACCATTGTCTAAGAGCTTTCTAGAACTTAATAGCATCTTGTAAAGAACTTGTATCTCTTCAGAGTTAGAATATGTTAATTCCAGAGTTTGATGACGTCATAAGTCAAAGCTTTAGATTCAGAACCTGTTAAGAAAAAGCTACACACTAGACACAAAACCATTAGTGTACAAAAGTGTTCTCTAAGAAACAATGTATTATTATCATCAAAACTAAAGGTCTGATGCAGATTCAAATCTTGTTCTAACACCCAGCACCCATATCGAACTTGTGGTAGCTATTGAATGATAATGGAGCATTTGGAACAAAATCAAGTAGGTTAAGAGAGGATATGGACGTCATAAAAGGCAAGGTGGACCAGATGTTGGAAGCTCTGCTAGCAAGGACGAAGAACAATCTTCAGCATGTTGTTACGGAGAATGTTAGTCCCACATCAGGCTTTACCGTGGTGACTAACCCAATGTACGGTCTTCCCCCTAACTATGCTCCTCCACAAGTAGATGTTCATACTCAGCCTCAACCTATGCATATCATGGTATCTAATGAGGTCCCCGTTATGTAGGAGAACCCCATTGTTCATATGGATGAATGGCATCCTCGATTTACAAGGTACGTGTCAAACTCTCAGAGGGCCCACCATGTGACAAATGTAGAGGGTCCTCAAGATGTTGAAGTCGTAGAAAAATATTATGCTCTGAAGAAACAATTGAAGGCACTGGAAGGCTTTTATGCATTTGGTTTGGATGCTCTCGACTTGTGTCCAGTACTAGATGTAGTTATACCCCCTAAATTCAAAGTATCCGACTTCGAGAAGTACATGGGTTTTAGCTATCTAAGGCGCCATTTAGTGATGTTGTCAAAAAATGGCCTCCTATACCAGCAACGATAAGCTGATGATCCACTGTTTTCAGGACAGTTTGAGTGGGGCATCGTTGAGTTGGTATATGGAATTAGAAAGGAGTTGTATTCAATCATAGAGGGGCTTAGTTAATGACTTTTTGAATCAGTACAAGTACAATTTAGACATGGCCCTTAGTCGTATGCAATTGCAAAACTTATCTCAAAAGAGAAACGAAACCTTCAAGGAATATGCATACTGGTGGATGGAATTGGTCGTCCGAGTGCAACCATCACTATTAGAGAGGGAGTTAGTCGACATGTTCATGGATACTTTGCAAGGCTATTATCTTGAGAAAATGATAGGAAGTGTGTTATCAAGCTTCGTTAACCTGGTGATAGTGGGAGAACTTATCGAGAGCGGCCTCAAAAGTAGAAAAATGCAAGACGCATTAAGTAGTTGGATTTATGAGGATGAATCCTATAACAACTCCCAGATGAAGAAAGAGGGTGAAACCAATGCAATCACGGTAAATGTTGGGTATTCTCATGATGCACTGACAAGACCTTATGGCCCTTCATCTTTTCAGCAATTGCCATTTCTAGTTCCATACTATCATTATGTGGCAGCGCCATCACCAACTCCTTATTAGCAACCAATAATGCCCATAGTGTCATACCAGTAACCCTATGAGAAGTCGCTCCGTTGTCCATATACTATTGATCATCAGGAGGAGAGATGGAGAAAGTATGCATAGCAGCTTGGATGTCTGTCGGAGCATAAGAAGATGAACTTTGCTGACTGTTCATGTGAGGTGGAGCAGTTGCCATGTTAGCTTGCTGAGGTTTAGGACCTAGTATGCCTGATTGTTGATGGGGAGAAACCGTTGTCGGATATGGACATGGTGGAGTGGCCCATGGCTGCCATGGATATGCCCATTGTTGCTGCTGTCTGGGATAAGTGGGAGTGGTCCACTGAGGTTGCTGATAGTGAGACTGACGCCACTGATGTGGCTGTGGCTGGGAACGACCTCCACCACGACCATTGCTTCTGCTCCTGCCACGACCTTCACCGCGGTCATTGCTTCGGCCACCACGACTAGCACCATTGTTGTTGCGATTGTTATGTTGTTGAGATAGAGTGGTTGAGGCCGCGGTATCATCAAGAGATGATACGAAAGCAGAGTTGCTGCTAGAATTTGCTGCTTTCTTTGCTTTGGCTGTTTCTTCCAATATTATCATAGAACGAGCTTTTTAAAAAGGTGGAAGAGAGTCTCCATGACGGATTTGTGAACCCACCGTGGCATACGCATCTGTCAGGCCATAAATGAGTTGAAGAACAAGCCTTTCGTTAGACACGGGAGCACCGACATTAGAGAGTTGATCAGATAGGGATTTGAGATGTTGACAATAGGTGGAGGCATCAGGAAATTGCTCCATATGAACATTAGAAAACTCCTGCTCGAGGTAGAGAGCCCTAGAATTTTTATTGTCATAAAAAATGTTGAATAGCATGTTCCATGCATTTTCTGCGGTTGAATCGCGCTCAATGATGGTGTGGAGAAGATCATCAGAAATTGTGCCATAAATCCATTGAAGGACAACAGCATCAAGACGTGCCCAAATAATAGGATCGGTGTCTTTGAGATTAGAAGAGGATGTGGTTTCAATTGGAATGATATGATCAATGACTTGGTGAACACGAGCATGGATTTTGAAGAATTCAGACAAGGTGTTATATTGACCATTTTCAATACTTAGGGTAATTTTGATAAAGTTGATGATGTTAGAGATGGTGAATGCGGGATGAGTGGGAGGATTGGTATTTTGCGTGGTTTCAGAGTTTTTGGAAGGGGATGATCGTTTGGTGGAAGATGATTGGTTGGTGCTCATGATGAGAGAAGCGTGGGTGAAATGAGAGAAAGAGGAAGGTTGCGCAGCTGGTTATGTGAGAAGAGCGGTGGCGCAAGGATTAGGGTGTAAGATCAGTACCTGATGCTTACTGATACCATATTGGAATGATAGGCATTGCCTTTCTATTGATTTTGAATGATATATATACAACCAGGACTATTTAATGATAATAATAACAATAATATCCTAATAATAACAATGATATTCTAATATATCAACCATGATATCCTAATAATAATAATAATAATATTCTAATAGACACATCTCACACGAGCATTCTAAAAAATATCAAATTATATATGAAGATGAATTCAAAACAGGTAACCAGGACAATTCCTCTTTATTATATTCTCAATGCATACGATGTGGTCATCTATCTCTTCCTCTGTTGGAGGGGTTTCAGATATGTCTGCAATCTTATGAATATCAAAAATCAAAATCTGAGAACCTAAGCAGCTACTAATTTTTAATCTAACTCAAGGAAATATCAGAATTGCAACACCAAGAGTAAGACACTACTCAATAAGAGTCCCTATCTGTGTTCAATTGTGGGCTCCCACCAATGCCATGTGCCCTACAAGGTCCAACACTCGGTTGCTGCAATGGATACAAATTGAAAATGAGCAAAAAGTTCAGTTTTGAAAAATGTCTTAAATGCATGGTTTAAATTGTATGTGTGGGGAAAATGTGGGTAATGCAGTCGAAATTGTAATATTAAAACCAAGATGTGTATGCATGAGCCTGAAAAGTTTTAGTCATAATTACATATACACATACCTGTAACCCCACTCATTGTCATACCACGAGACTAGCTTCACAAAGGACTTACTGAGCCCAATCCCGGCCTTAGCATCAAAGATACTCGATCTATTAATAAGAAATACATTTACATTAAAACGCTTACTTGTCAAACAAACATATAAATAGAATTATAAACTGAAAAAACTGCTATTAATAGAATTATCGAAGTGCAACATATAAAGTTTAGATTTATGACAAATTAAAATCTATTTTGAGCATATAAATAGGCATGGTCGTGTTGATGGCATCTCACTTTCCAACAAAAATAATAAAAATCAAATTCATTTGTAAATGAAAACTCAAAATATGCATAATACCAGATTTTAGCATGTATACTAGATAAAAGGCACATGAGTCTGTCCTCTTGAAGATGCTGATAGTGATCTAAATTTGAAATACAGCAACATTTACTTTACCTTGAATCACCAACAAAGTCATTAGAGACAACGTCCTCATCTGTGTATCCAAGAATTCCCTTCAATTGTCCCTCTGAAGCATGCCTTCATTTTTTTTCAGTTGCAATGTAATAGAAAACAAATGAATTGGTTAGTACAAAACAAGGTTAGTGCAAAACAACTCAACATGAGAGAACATAAGCCGAAGCAGAAAAGCAAGAGACATACTTTATTGCTGCTTTAACATCTTCATAGGAGGCATTCTTTTGAAGCCGGCAGGTTAAGTCCACGACAGAAACATTAGGAGTAGGAACACGAAAGGCCATTCCGGTGAGTTTTCCATTTAGCTCGGGAAGAACTTTTCCAACAGCCTGGGATTTCACAAAGTGCAAAACTAATTTAATAAATGTAATTGGTAAGCACAGAAACTCTTATGGTCGTCCATCTCTTACCTTTGCAGCCCCAGTTGAACTTGGAATTATATTTTGAGCTGCACCTCTTCCCCCTCTCCAATCCTTCATTGAAGGACCATCTACAGTCTTTTGTGTTGCTGAGAAAAGTAGAGGATAGTTAGACATTAACAATGTCACTCGTGAGCATGAAAAGTTATGGTTTATCCTAAGGAAAAAGAAAGCAGAAGTTTTAACTGGAAAATGTGCAACAGACCTGTTGTTGCATGCACAGTTGTCATCAAACCCTCAATTATACCAAACTCCTCATGAACCACCTGATAAATAGTTTATATAAGAATTAGATGCTTGTATGCAAGATTCTGATAAGGAAGGAAATAAGAAACAAATGGGGGTGGGGGCATCAAATCGGCTAATTCTTGAGCTAAAGGCATATATTGATTCTGAGAGTTCAGCATTAATTCCATTAAGTTCACTTCTCTCAATGGTTTGATTTGTTTTATTAGAAGAGATATTACTAAAAAACCTTGATGATGAATTAATTGTCTATAACTCCATGATCCTATTAGTTTTACTTTTAATACTTTCCACACTCTCTGCAAAAATTAAAAAAATATATATATAAAAAAATCAATTCTTGGATATATTTCTGAAGAAAATAATTATAGATCAACAAGATGAACTGTGGGAAAATAAGTTGAAGAACGGAGAAATATGCTAGGTATCAATCCTGTATAGCACTGCGGAGCAGCCGATTCCGAAAGCAGGATGGCATGCCGCGGGAGGGATGGCCACTATTTGATCATTTTTTTGACAGATTACATTAATAAAACTATAAGCACAGATTTATAGTAAACTTGAACAAATAACTCAACTCAATATTCATAATTAGCAATTAAAGTCAATCTTAAACAAAACATACACTTAAGTACAAACAAAAGCCAAGGAAACAAAGAAGCTCAAGTCTCTACGTAACTAAATATTAAAACTCAAATGAAGTTGCCATGTCTGGTTTCACAAATAACTACAGAAAAACAAATTAAAACAGAGAAGGGGTTAAGGGGGGAATAAAAACAGTGGGGGAAATTGGGAACAGATCAGAGGAAGAAAAATAAGAGAAAATAGCAAAACAAAAGGAACATAACATAAAGAAAAAATATCAGGGCCAGATGAAAAAGGAAGCAGGTAACAGAGCAAAAAGCTAAAAAACTGGAAGAAGAAGAACCATGCCTGGGAGAAAACAAAAGGAAGCAGGAAGGAAAAAGGTTTGCAGTTTACAGGAAGGAATAAAGCAGGTCTGCATTTGCAGAGAAGAAAGAACGGTTTACGGGCAAAATACCAAAAACATCTCTGAAACGTCTATATTTTAAGGGTATTTTGGCTTTTCGAAACTATTTCTCTAAAGCGGGACAGATGCACCACAACGGATGCGGAAAAAAAAATCAAGTCGCACCACCCGCACCCTTTTTTACTGCAGCACGCCTGGTCTACTAGTGGTGGCTAGCTGTTGTTCTGCGGAGCAAAATGGCACAATTGACTACCTAGAAAAAATGTATATTTGATGTCATGGAAACTCCCTAAAAAGAAGCTCTCAGACATCCCCATTTAGTGTCCCAAAAGCACTTGAATTTTCTAGTTATCATTTTCCAAGCAACTAAATAAAGTTGGCATTCACACTGTAATCAAACCTTGGCAAGAGGAGCAAGACAATTCGTTGTACAGCTTGCATTAGAAACAATGTCCATGTTGGGCTTGTATGTCTTCTCGTTCACTCCTACCACAAACATTGGTGCATCAGCAGATGGAGCTGATATTATAATTTTCTTGGCACCAGCCTATAGTGGAAAAAGACAGCTTAATTTAAGATTTGAAGGTGGCAAGAGTAAAGCAAGGGAGGAGAAAATAGAAAATAAATAAAAAAAAACTAAATGCATAGGTAAATGAATATAGCAACCTTCAAATGTGATGAAGCTTTCTCCAATGTTGTAAAAACTCCCGAAGACTCTATGACATAGTCAGCACCGAAATCACCCCAAGGGATCTCCGCAGGATCTCTGAGAACAGGGGAAAATGCATATACATGTTTAACCAATTTTCTTATAGCTGTATAATAACACCGCCAGAAATAATGTCAACCAGTAACATATACGTGTAATGATGTCAACCAGTAATTGTCAGGTCTCAACTAAAGATACCTCTTGCTCACAACTTTAACCTGCTTCCCATTAATTTCCAAAGTTGTGTCATCCAAAACCTTAATAGTTCCCTTGAATGGTCCATGAGTAGAATCATACTTGAACATATAAGCCTGAAAGATCAAAGATAAAATAATAAAGCAAAATGTATGCACAAAAATAACAAGAGAACCACAGCAGAAAAGAAAAAAAAAATAGAAAACAACAATATAGTACCCTACCATAATTGAATTAAAAATAATATAAATAAACATAAGGATACAACAGATGAATTCTTTTAAAAAGTTGGAGTCGAAGCGAACAACAATACACACGCCTATTTATTTTCATGTTTTAGAACATATATCATCATGGCATATACTGTACCGAAACCTCAATGCAAAAAAAATGGTTAACACTTAACACCCAAGCTTTAACCAACCTAATATTAAACAAATTAAAACTGAAAAAGTAATCATAGCACAGACAGATAATTGGATTTATCGAAGGATTAGAGAAGGCCTCAGGTTAAAAAAATATATAATATAAAACATCAAGTTTAGTAAAAGTACAACACTAGAAAAGGTAAAAGGCATAAAACAGCATATAGACTACAGCCGCAGAACATTCAAACTGAATCAGCATCAGTATAATATATACAAGACAAAACATGTTTCTGCCGATTGCCAACATGTTTCTGCCGATTGCCAACATGTCTAAAGATTAGAGCAACATTGTTTGAACATAAATTTGAATCTAAAACAGTAACATGAGAATTCTGTTATAGGAGTGTGGAAAACTGAAAACAACAGGGAAAAAAACAAAAAAGTAATTGAGACGTATGTATATATTTACCATCATTACCACATGAATATATATAAACACACGCAAGTAGTTACAAATTTAACAGTCTTTAATCAGTAAGGCAGCCAAACTTCTAGCATCTCATAAGCACAATTATTAATGTAATTGCATATGCATACCATATATTTAGCATCAATAAAAGGATCATTAATTGCAACAACATCAATATCATCCCGTGAAGTAGCAACACGTAACACCAACCTTCCAATTCTACCAAAACCTGCATGTTGCATAAAAGATGTTTTTCTCAACACAAGCTGAAAGTTTCTAAAGATATATTTTCATGCTTTGTAACAAAATTTACACCTGTTACATAACTACATTTATGAATGGCACCCTTTGACAGTTATTCAATGTCCGTGCACTGATTTGCATTTTCTAAGACCAAATTAAAATATAACATGAAACATTAAGTTGTCTTTCAGTCATAACTTAACCTGTTTGCACTTTTCTAGAAAAATAAATACAATTAAAGATGTGTCCAAAAACTAATACGAACCAAGCAAGTTTTTTTAAAAGAAAGAAACTTAAATATAAAAAAGATTATTTTACAGTTTTTATTTTAAAATGTCAATAAAAATTTTCAAATAGAGTTATAACACAGAATCACTTATACAGTCCCAGGAATATAAACAAAAAACTTAAGTATGTCACAATTTTAAAAATGACAGTATAGCTAATCCAACAAAAGTACATGTGAACTCCATACAAAAAAACAACCATCAGCTTTCAAGAGAAAATTTATGAATTCAAGATGTGTTTCAAAAGTAAAGTAACCATTACATCCTAAGACCTAAATGAAGCCGGAATATAATAACATATGGTATGGAAGAAGGAGCTTGTAATCTTTCATAGTTTATAAGTATCTGACACAAGATTGAAAGTGTGTAACAAAATTCAATAGCAAGTATATACAAGAATAAAGAACCCTATAAGAGAACTCTCATAACAAGAAAGTTACCATTTATTCCAACTCTTGTCTTCCCAGTGCTGCTTGATTCTAAACAGACAAGACCAACAACAGGTAAGAATCATGAAATTGCATGCAAATCACCCTAATTCAGACAAAATAAATTGTAGTATACTGACTTTGTACAGGGAGAGGGGTTTCCGTTGCTGTAGCGCTGATAGGCTGAATGCTCCGGGCATTGCAGTTCCTGAGCAAACAACAATACATCAGGAACAAAAATAATAAAATCACATATCTAAACAACAGAAACAGGCAATGGAGACAAAAAATAAGAGCACTCATTAAAAATTCTGGCAAACTCAACTGTAAGACTAATGGATCACATGGAAATGAAGTTCCGAGTATGCTGTTTTGCAACCTCGTGGATTTTGAATTAATACTTGAGCGAAGTACCTGAATCATACATAAAGACACATTAATAGGACTTAACAAGCATAAAATTCAAAAACTGTACCAGCTCTGAAATGATGCTATGATATGAAAACTATGAGAATAATCTATCAGATTGAAACTCTTCATGACAGTCAAGGATTCAACAGCAGAAAATTTTACTCAGCATCTTGCAGATAATCTGTGGTGCATTGAGGTAGCGGGAAGAAGATACCTGAAAGCGATCGGAGGAGTAATGTGAAGAAACGATCGCAGATCTGAGAAGAGAAGAAGCAGCCATTGGAGAAGAAAAACCCTAGAAAACGAAGACTGTGTTCTTTGAATTTTGCACCAACAACAACGAAGAAAGAAAAAGAATGAGTATAATATAATATAGACACTCTTTTCTCGCTTTTATGAATTTTTGTAATTTCTTAGCGGAGGTTTTTATGAAAGATGACAAAATTCTCTCTCTCTGGTCTCTCTACATTATTGCTGTAAGGGTGGTGATCCTCTGCGGATGACCCTACGCTTGTGATATTACTCCCTCCTTTTTACCATTAATGCGACTTTAGCAAAAGAAAAAAGAAAACCAATTATGTATTTTTAATTAAAAATTTTAATATTATTTTGAACTTAAAGTGATATATTATGGAGTGTCATTGTAAAAATAATTTACACTATCAATCAATTACCATTATATATCCCGCCAAATTTATGAAATGGTAGATTAATGAATTTCTATTAAATGATAGTTTAAAATTATTTTACACTATTAATGCATATCAATTAAACTCTATTATTTCTACTTTTTTTATGTTAATTTCGAAGTTATTTTGATTCTTAACTTAAGAAGTTATTGAACTTAATTTTTTAAAATATATTGTATTAATTTTTTTTCTTTAGGGAGTGTCAGAAAAATTTAAAAATCGATCGTTAAATTTGTCGTTAATTATATAAAAAGAATTAATTTAATAAATTTTAAAGAGTTAAAGGATATGTTTAAATTGATAGTATGAGATATGATGGAATGGAATGAAGCGGTAACTAATGTGATTCAATTGTTTGGATTTGTAAATAATAGGTAAAATGAAATGGAATTGAACATAGTGAAATACATTTCATATTCCATCTAATTTTCATTTTTTGTTCTATCAATTTGAAGTGTATGTGATAGAAGGAAATTATTTTTAATAAAATAACTAAACAATAGAATTGAATTTATATTTCACTTCGTTCTGCTTTATTCGTATGTTCTATGAATTAAAATATTCAGAGTTAAATATATCTGACTAAACAATAGAATTGAATTTATATTTTACTTCGTTCTACTTTATTCTTATGTTTTATTCAAAATATTCAGAGTTAAATCTACGTGACTAAAAAAATATTAAAGCTAATTAAAATTATGTACACTATTCTTATAGTATTATATTCACTGTGTAATCACCATTAAGATTTAGAAAAGAGATCCCTATCAAATATAGTTTCTACCTTTTATTTCTTTTTATCTAACATTGCCAAGTAACCTTTTATAAGGGCTTATTAGTTTTTTCAAGTATTATATTAATTTAATAATATAATTACTTTTATTTTATTTTATAAATCATCATAATATTATCATTCATATACTATATTTAATCATAAAACAATGTATATAGCAAGAACAAATTTGCCTACCACAACTTTTTTGATAGTATTTTAAAATAATTATAAACATAAAATTAAGACTTTGATAAATTAATTACATTTTTTAGTAAAAAAATTTAAGTTAATATTTCCAAAATGAGTCACTAAAAAGTCATTGGCACGTATTTCATATACACATTTGTTTGTCACTCGGTAATCAATCAATAATATTCAATAATTTTTATATCTTAAATAAAAAAAGTATAATATTATTTAAATTTATTATAAAAACATACGCAACAAAAATATTGACAACCAAACCGTTAATTAAAATTTAAAATTTTGTAATACCGTCAACATAGAAATGTGAACAATTCTAATAAATTTAATAGTATAACTTTTTTGAATTTTAATTTTTAATTTATTTTTTAAATTTTCATTTTTTTCAATATATTTTTGAAAAGAAATCACTTACACATACAACCCATTTGCAACACAAATATTGATATGTCACAAATTAATTAGATAAATGTAGTATATATTTTATATCTCTTAAATATAAATATAAATAATTATAGTATTTTGATTAAAGTGTGACTAAAGAAATTATTGAAATTAGTATGTGATCGTATCTGATCAGAGAGATCGTTGGGCTATCACGCGTCTAAGTTGTTGAACGGTTGGCTTGACGGACAAAGGGGGTGTACCTGAAATACACTTCAATGTCAAAGTAAGGGACGAACAGAGTGATAACAAGTACAGAGAAAGGAGTGAGAATTAGATTACCTGACCCTCTAGTGGAAGAGGGTATTTATAATGAGCCCTCAGCGCAGGGCCAACGGTTACTCTGCGTTGGGCTGGGGTGTCAGGCCCAACGTTGGTAACTGTTAGGGCTGTCGTGGCATCGTGAAGACCAGCACGTGATATTCCCCCTAGTGTAACTGTTTTGAGCTATCCGGGAGGTGGAGGACCGAATCATCAGGGCACGGGTAGTTACTTAATGAAGTGTCCCCGCTAGGGGACACGTAGAGAACGTGGGGGAGGTATGAGGAGCTACCCGAGCAGGATGGGCTCTGCCCGTCCGTTGGGGCAGGTGGAGGCTAGCCGGACAACTACGAAGGTCCTACTCGACGGTTGTTGGCCTGTGTCCGACGGGAGAAGATGTTCTGCCCGACGGATCTTCTGCTCGTCGATGAGGTCTTATTGGACTTTCCAACCCAGTAGGGTTTGGGCCTGCTCGAGTGTGGGCCAAGCATTGGCCCAGTCCAAAACAGTAGCCCCTCAAGTCGTTGCTCATGGTTAAGCAGACTATGACTTAAGACGCAAAAAGCCGGCGGAGACGCCGCTATGTCGGGCAGCCTGTGATGCAAGGGAAGCCTGCGGTCGAGGAGAGGAATCTAGAGAGACACAGGGAAGGCAAAGGGTCGCCATGTGTCCTCCTGTGGAGACTATGGGCTAGGTACTTGAGTGTATAGTGACGCTTCGTTTCCCGTGTTAGGACGTATATATACGGGAGTCCAGCTCGACTTTTCGTTCGCTTGCTTCTTTTGTTGCTGCTCGACTTCTTGAGTCATCTGCCCGGCATCTTCAATCCTTCTCCTCGACATCCACAGTCTCCCTGCTTGACGCGACATCCTTTTCTACCACCGCATCACGTAAGTTCCTACCTCCCTTCTGGTGCTTTTCAATGTTTCCGGTAGTGTTTTCAGCGGCTCCGTTGGAGGTGTCGGGGCGGCCGTGGGCTTTTTCGGCGAATACGCCGGAGAGTCTTCCAAAATTAGGGTTGTGACTGACTGTCCCCGACCCTTGCGATGAGTGGCCCAGGGAGGATCGATGAAACTTTGAACGTCCCAAAGGTAGTTGATTGGATACCCGAGCAAGATTGAGGGATGCGCCGAGGATAAGAAGTGTATCCCCTGGACACATCGGAGGGTCAGGTAAATATTAAAATGATTCCAATTTAATTTAAAACTAATTTTTAATCAGGTTGCAATTATAAATCAATTTAATCTCTCTCTCACACACACACACACACACACACACACACACACACACACACACACACACACACACACACACACACACACACACACACACACACACACACACACACACACACACACACACACACACACACACACACACACACACACACACACGCACGCACGCACGCACGCACGCACGCACGCACGCACGCACGCACGCACGCACGCACGCACGCACGCACGCACGCACGCACACACACACACACACACACACACACGCACGCACGCACGCACGCACACACACACACACACACACACACACACACACACACACACACACACACACACACACACACACACACACACACACACACACACACACACACACACACACACACACACACACACACACACACACACACACACACACACACACACACACACACACACACACACACACACACACACACACACACACACACACACACACACACACACACACACACACACACACACACACACGCACACGCACACGCACACGCACACGCACACGCACACGCACACGCACACACACACACACACACACACACACACACACACACACACACACACACACACACACACACACACACACACACACACACACACACACACACACACACACACACACACACACACACACACACACACACACACACACACACACACACACGCACACGCACACGCACACGCACACGCACACGCACACGCACACGCACACGCACACGCACACACACACACACACACACACACACACACACACACACACACACACACACACACACACACACACACACACACACACACACACACACACACACACACACACACACACACACACACACACACACACACACGCACACGCACACGCACACGCACACGCACACGCACACGCACACACACACACACACACACACACACACACACACACACACACACACACACACACACACACACACACACACACACACACACACACACACACACACACACACACACACACACACACACACACACACACACACACACACACACACACACACACACACACACACACACACACACACACACACACACACACACACACACACACACACACACACACACACACACACACACACACACACACACACACACACACACACACACACACACACACACACACACACACACACACACACACACACACACACTTGGATTTTTATTTTTTATTTTCAAAATAAAAACTCTTTTTTTATAAAAAAAAAGTATATATTTTTATTTTCTGAAACAATAATTTCTTATTTTCAAAAGAAATTATATATAATTTACTTCTTGGAATAAAAATATTTTTCATTTGCAAAAAAATAAATTTTTTCTAAAAAATAATTTTTTTCTAAAAAATATATATTTTATTTATTATTTTTTTTAAAAAATATTTTTATTATTTTTATTTTAAAAAAATATTTATTTTTTCAAAAAAATTTGTATTAACTCTCAATTGTTTGCCTTCTTCTTTTTATGAGAAATTAGATGATATAATTAAACCAGTTTATAAAAAGAAAATTGGTTCTAAATTGTTTTTGAAATAAATTAGAATTATTTAAATTAAATAATTTAGTTCATTAGTCATTTAATTTTGTGTGGCATAATGGAATTCACAGCCATA